TCAAAAAAAAAAAACAACAACAAAACCCAAAACAGAACAGATCAATGAAACCAGGAGCTGGTTCTTTGAAAGAATTAAAAAAATTGATAAATTCCTAGCCAGACTGATCAAAAAAAAAAAGGACCCAAATAAATAAAATCACAAATGAAAGAGGAGAGATCACAACCAACACCACAGAAATACAAACAATAGTAAGAGAATATTATGAGCAATTACATGCCAACAAATTGGGAAATCTGGAAGAAATGGATAGATTCCTAGAAACATACCATTCCTAGTTCACTACCAAAGCTGCAACAGGAAGAAATAGAAAATTTGAACAGACCCATAACCAGTAAAGAAATTGAATCAGTAATCAAAAATCTCCCGACAAACAAGAGTCCAGGGCCAGACGGCTTTCCAGGGGAATTCTACCAAACATTTAAAGAGGAGTTAACACCTATTCTTTGAAACTGTTTCAAAAAACAGAAATGGAAAGAAAACTTCCAAACTCATTCTACGAGGCCAACATTACTTTGACTCCAGAACCAAAGACCTCACTAAAAAGGAAAACTACAGACCAATTTCCCTGATGAACATGGATGTAAAAATTCTCAATAAGATATTAGCAAACCAGATCTAGCAATTCATTAAAAGAATTATTCACCATGATCATGTGGGATTTATTCCTAGGACGCGGGGCTGGTTCAATATCCACAAATCAATCAATGTGACACATAACATTAATAAAAGAAAGGATAAGAATCACAAGATTGTCTCAATAATAGATGCTGAAAACGCATATGACAAAATACAGCATCCTTTCTTGATAAAAACCTTCAAAAAAGTAGGGATAGAGGATCATTACCTCAAAATCATAAAGGTCATATATGAAAGCACCACTGCTAATAATATCCTCAATAGGGAAAAACTGAGAAGATTTCCCCCTAAGGTAAGGAACACGACAAAGATGTCCACTCTCACCACTGTTATTCAACATAATGTTGGAAGTCCTGGCCTCTGCAATCAGACAACACAAAGAAATAAAAGGCATCACAAGGAGTAAGGAGGAAGTCAAACTTTTCACTCTTCACAGACTACATGATACTCTATGTGGAAAACCCAAAACACTCCACCAAAATCCTCCTATCACTGATACATGAATTCAGCAAAGTAGCAGGCTATAAAATCAATGTTCAGGGAAACAAAAATAATATAAAAGTAGAGAGAGAGACACACCATAAGAGACTCTTAAATACAGAGAACCATTAATGAGGGTCGCTGTTGGGGTGTTGGGAGGGGGTAGAGGTTAAAGGGGTGAGGAGCATTAAGGAAGACACTGGTTGGGATGAGCACTGGGTGGTTATATGTAAGTGATGAATCACTGAATTCTATTCCTGAAAATTAATTAATTAATTTTCATAATTTACAGAATTTACAGAAATCGGTTGCATTTCTATACACCAATAATGAAGCAGCAGAAAGAGAAATCAAGGAATTGATCCCATTTACAATTGCACCAAAAACCATAAAACACCTAGGTATAAATCTAACCAAAGAGGTGAAAAATCTATACACTGAAAACTATAGAGCTTATGAAAGAAATTGAAGAAGACACAAAAAAATGGAAAAACATTCCCATGCTCATGGATTGGAAGAACAATATTAAAATATCTATACTACCCAAAGCAATCCACATATTCAATGCAATCTCTCTCAAAATAACACCAGCATTCTTCACAGAGCTAGAACAAACCATCCTAAAATTTGTATGGAACCAGCAAAGACCCTGAATAGCCAAAGCAATCTTGAAAAAGAAAACCAAAGCTGGAAGCATCAGAATTCTGGGCTTCAAGCAGTATTACAAAGCTGTAATCATCAAGACAGTATGGTACTGGCACAAGAATAGACAAATGGATCAATGGAACAGAATAGAAAACCCAGAAATAGACCCACAAACATATGGCCAACTAATCTTTGACAAAGCAGGAAAGAATATCCAATGGAACACTCTCTTCAGCAAGTGGTACTGGGAAAACTGGACAGCGACATGCAGAAGAATTAATCTGGACGCACTTTCTTATACCATACACAAAAATAAACTCAAAATGGATGAAAGACCTAAATGTAAGACAGGAAACCATCAAAATCCTAGAGGAGAAAACTGGCAACAACCTCTATGACCTTGGTCGCAGCAACTTCTTACTCAACATGTCTCTGGAAGCAAGGAAAACAAAAGCAAAAATGAAGTATTGGGACCTCATCAAGATAAAAAGCTTCTTCACAGCAAAAGAAACAATCAACAAAACTACAAGGCAACTCATGGAATGGGAGAAGATATTTGCAAATGACACATCAGATAAAAGGTTAGTATCCAAAATCTATAAAGAACGTATCAAATTCAACACCCAAAAAAAAAAAAAAAAATCCAGTGAAGAAATAGGCAAAAGACATGAATAGACACTTTTCCAAAGAAGACACCCAGATAGATGGTTAACAGACACATGGAAAAATGCTACCATTCATCATCAGGGAAACACAAATCAAAACCACAATGAGATATCACCTCACACCTGTCACATTGGCTAAAATTAACAACTCAGGCAACAAGAGATGTTGGCGAGGATGCAGAGAAAGAAGAGCCCTTTTGGGGCACATGGGTGACAGTCAGCTAAGTGTCTGACTTTGGCTCAGGAGTTCGAGCCCCGTGTCAGGCTCTGTTCTGACAGCTCAGAGTCTAGAGCCTGCTTCAGATTCTGTCTCCATCGCTCTCTGCCCCTCCCCCACTCACACACTGTCTCTTCTCTCTCTCAAATACAAATAACATTAAAAAAAATTTTTTTTAAAGAGGAACACTTTTGCACTGCTGGTGGGAATGCAAACTGGTGCAGCCACTCTGGAAAACAGAGGCTATGGAAGTTCCCTCAAAAATTAAAAACAGAACTACCCTGCGATTCTACCCCTAGTAGAATTTCACTACTAGGTATTTATCCAAAGGCTACATGAGTGCTGATTTGAAGGGCACATGCACCCCAATGTTCATAGCAGCACCATTGACAATAGCCAAAGTATGGAAAGAGCCCAAATGTCCATCAACTGATGAATGGATAAGGATGATGTGGTATATATATACACAATGGAATATTACTCAGCAATCAAAAAGAATGAAATCTTGCCATTTGCAACCACGTAGTTGGAACTAGAGTGTATTACGCTAAGCAAAATAAGTCAGTCAGAGAAAGACAAATAACATACGATTTCACTCATATGTGGAATTTAAGATAGAAAACAGATGAACATAAGGGAAGGGAAGCAAAAATAACTGCACATTTAGTATGTTTTTAATTTTTCATATTAGTAAGGTTATTGGGCATTGAGAGAAACAAACACAAAAAAAAGTAAAAGAAAAAGGGGGCCACAGCTCACAAGGGAGGTGAGAGATAGACTCAGGTGGAAGTCATCAGAATATAGGAAATACATGAAGCCATGTCTTAGGTGAGTAGAATATAAGGAGAAAGTAGAAAATAAATAAAAAGATCAGAGAGGTAAAGTCAGTGGAATAATAATACTTAAAGACAGAGAAGAGAAAGATGAGTTTGAGAAAGATACCAAAAAGTGGAATCAGTAAGGTACAAAGAGACCTAAGAGAAAAACCAAATCAGGAAAAGCAAGGCAAGAAAGTTTCCAAGTAATAAAAACCAATGCTGTTTCCGATTCTGTGTCTCCCTCTCTCTCTGCCCCTCCCCCGTTCATGCTCTGTCTCTCTCTGTCCCAAAAATAAATAAATGTTGAAAAAAAAATTTTTTTAAAACAATAAGTACTCTTATAGACCCCAAATTTCAAATCAAATAGAAAGGATGATGTTTTTAACAAGACAATTTCAGAATGATGAAATTACTAGACAATTTCAGAATGATGAAATTACTACCTCATATTTATGTATAACAATATGCACATGGTACTAGATAATACTAGAGTTTATATTTTCTAGGATACACAACACAATTGCCCAGATACTGAAGAAGATGTTCAAGAAATATTAAAAAGGCATTTACCCACTGGCACCAAATTGCCACCTAGCTAATCTGCCACAGTGAAAGAATATCAAGAACTAGAACATCTATAAAAAAATAAATAAGATGTTAACATTGGCCATAAAGAGTTCTCTGGAGAATAATTATTAAACTGTAAGTTTCATGAAGATAAGACAATAAGCTGGCCCTATTCCTCCCCATATGCCTAGATTCCAGCATGGTGCCAGGTTCCATGTTTCTACACAGCTAACATCCCAATGGATGAAGGGGGGAAGAACAGGTGACACTGATGATGCCCAATTTTGTCAGTGTTTTGATCCACAGTTCCATGTTAGACCAAACTGGTGATCCCAGATCTCTAATTACAAGGATAAATAACAGAGCTTTTCATTTCATACCCAGAGCTTGAATAACTTATTCCCAAGTATGTATACATGCATTGCTGCTCTCAAAAATAGTTGTATCTTTTTATAGTTGAATCCTAACACTTTGAGGAATTTACTATTATCCACAGCCTTGAAAATGTCACTTCAAATAATTTATTAACATATTGGATGCAATATAAAACACAAATCATATATACTTACTTCAAGCTACCATTACTTCAATCTTCTATTATTTACTCTATGAATTTGTAATACATTGAGGTTACAGGCATATGCTTGTTTGCAGGGCAAAGCCCCACACAATGTGAATCACTTTCTTTACATCAAAAACACTTCATATCATCTAAATCAGTATAAAGTAAGTCTCTTTGATTTCCACACACCTAACATAGAAAAAGGAAAAATTCCTAGTCACTCTGCAGCACATGTACATTTTATTATTTCCAGGTATATTCTGACAAACATTTAAAAAGTGTTTTAGAAGTCTCAACTCAAGATTTCTAAAATCCTTCATGGACTCTTTTTTTAACTTTTATCTAACCCAGGATTAAGCAGAATTCTAAAATGTCCTAGAAACAGGAATTAAAAGTTACAAACTTACATTCAAGCTGTGCAACCACATCTCCAGGGTCTACTGCTTCAGGGAACACCTACAGTGGGAGAACACAGAGGGAAGCAGGGTGGAGAAGAGGAAGTGAAAGGAACATACACATAAAATAGTCTTTGTAATTCCCCTCTCCTTCCCAAAATATTCCTTTCTCATCCATAGAAACTTTGGACATTATTGAGAACTGTCACTTCCTCTCTGCTTCCCACGATCACTATGGAAGCTCTGACAATCAAACAAACACACATTATGGCTGGCTGGCTCTCCCTCTCCAACTTCACCAGGGCTGCTTCTTCATCTCAACTCCTCCCCTGTTGGTCACCATGGTCATACTGGCCTTCTTGGTGCCCCTCCAACTCATCAAGCTTATTCCCAGCAAGAAGTCTTTATATTTGCTATTCCGCTGCTTAGAACGCTTTTCCACTAGACCTTCAAATAACTGATAACTGTCTCATAATTCAGTTCAGCTTAAATGTTATCATCTTCTCTGACCACCCTTTAAAACAGATAATCCCCTGAATCCCTCAATTCCTCTCTGTTCCCTCACCCTCCCTTTATTCTTTTCATGACACTTATCACTATCTAAAATTATTCTATTCCTGTGTTTACTTCATTATTGTTGGTTTCTCCTATTACAGGGAAAGCTCCAGGTGGGGAGGCTGTTTGTCTTGTTTACCCAGTGCCTAGAATAGTGCATGAAACAGAGCAGGAAGTGGGTAATTATCAGAAAAGGAAAAGGAAAAGGAAAAGGAAAAGGAAAAGGGAAAGGAGAAGGAAAAGGAAGGAAGGAAGGGGAGGAGAGGGAAGGAAGGAGGAAAGTAGAGAAGGAAAGAAGGAAATAAAGTGAAGAATATGATTGGTAATAACCAAAAGCAGCAGTTTTAGGGAAAAACAGAAAAGAAACTCATAGAAAGAAGTACCAGAAGATAGCCAAAAGTAAAATAAAATCTATTTTTACCTATTAATGTCTCCTCTTTCTCTTTGTTGTGAAAATTATTATTTAATATTCAAGATGCTCTATTTTACATAGAGCCCACTAACACAATTTTAGAAATAAACTGATCCATTATGAAAATGAGGCAACTCATTTCATGAATAATACAATGCATATTTCTTTTCAAGCTTCCAGATTTAAGTTACAAATCTCCTTTTCAATGAAATCAAAGTATATATAGTCAGTAGTAATTTGTCTTTAGGGCTTTTATTAAAAATTTGGAAGTACACTGATTATTTGTTAATATTTGATCTGTCACTTGAACTCACCTTTTCAAACACCATTCTGGCATTGAAGACCAGTGGAAAATTGGCTGGGACACATTGTGTCTTTTTGTATTGGCCAAACACACAGATGCTAAGATAGATGTCCTCCTTGTCTTTCAGCACCACTCCTGGACAAGTTACCTGAACAAAATTAGATAGAGAGATGTAAATGCTTTATGAATTCCCTGAACTATCCTACTGAAATAACTTACATGGCATTACATAAAAACACTAGTCTGCTAAGCCAATAAAAAGACGCACAAATTAAAAGAAAAGAGATTCTCGTGTTTACAGAGTTAAATGAAATGCCTTTATAACTTCCATCCCTCTGAGAAATCTATGATTCTCCATTTGGTTATTTGTTCCACATTTGAAGCTCTGTGTACTGGCTCTTGGGACAGATACTAACAGTTTTAAACAGTCAGCCTTAGGCACCCACTTTATGCTGAATGCTGACATAAACTTATTCAGCATCATTTAATCACAAAGGATTAAGACTCAGCAGAAACAAAGCACTATCCTAGAGGACAAAAATAATAGCAATAAAAACCACAAATATGACCTGTATAACCCTAAATAGCAGCCCATATACACCCTCATCAAACGCAATATGACGGACTTTCAAAGCTAGTGAATTATAAATTTCTAGTCCAATGATACATTTTTTAAACATGAAATTGCACTTCATTATCCTCATGATTGACACAAAGTATAGGCACAAAATATGGTGTTTCTAAAAAGTCCACAGCACAGATTCCCCAGTCCCAGTCATATTTCACTGTCAGTGATCAACCACACCCTTAAAGAAATATTAAAGGCTCTCTAAGATTTGAATCCAACCCACCCACATAGTAACATTACTCAACATCCCCCAATAATACAATCAAAGTATATTTTTATTGTTCTCTAAACACACACATTACTGTCCTACCTTACATTCTTCCATTATCTGGATTACTACTCCTTACTACTCCATTCCATCTCTGCCTCATTTATACTCACCACCTTCCAAGGCTTACATCAGCTGCATCTCCTACACAAAACTCTGGACTCACCAGCTACCATTATTCAATTCAATCTAATTCAAACATTTATTATGAATTTACCATATTCAAATAAATACGTTTTAGATTCTCATAGCATTTTGTAGTTCTCTTAAGGCCTAATTATTATCTCCCTGCATTTTAATTAAGTAGGTACAACTCACCTCTTTTATTTAATTATAAATTCCCTGAGGATAGAAATTTTATTTTCTCATCAATGTATCCAAAACACAGACTTTCAGTATTAAGAAGCTCCAAGATTATCAAATAGCTTCAGATTTTTTACGTACAATAACCACAGAGCCCCAAGAAAGTATAGGTGATTTACTTACTTAAAGTGACACAGAAAATCAATCAATACAATACTTTCAAAAGTGCTTAGAAAAGTGCCTAACAGAGCATTCAACCAATACCAGCTATAGTTATTGTTAGGCTGAAAATCACTACATCCGTCATCTCAACACAAATTACTGCATTGAATAAATGACCAAGACTTCAGGTCTCTTTGTATGTAGCAGTTAAGATTATTTTCCATGCCAGATATTTATACTCCATCTCCCTCTTATTCTATTTTCCAATTTCCGTTCTGATATATTCCCTACTGATTATTAAAATCTATTAAAATCAAGGTCCTCAGCAAATATAATGTTGTCCATCACCTTCATTTCCTACTCTGCCTCATTAAAATCAAACCTGTTATAATCCCTCTAAATCCATGTTATCCAATATGGTAGCTGCTAGCCACTTATGTCTACAGTTGTGGCTGGACCAAACTGAGATGGACAATGAGTATAAAATACAAGATTTTGAAGATTTGTTCAGAAAGATTTTGAAAACTCATTATAAAAACAGCATAAAATATCTCATTAATAACTAACACTTTGAAAACATTGATTTAAATAAAATTATTGTTAAAATTAATTTATCTACTCCTTTTAACTTTTTTAATATAGCTGTAAAAATTTTTAAATTGCACCTTTGGCTTAAATTTGTGGTTCATATTATATTTCTACTGAGTAGTGCACCGGCTCTAACTGTCCTACTGGAAACTACGGACTCTCTTTCCAATGTGTAATATATGCAAGAAGGCATGGCTTTTTCTCATCCACAATTCTACAAATTCTGCCATGCTTTAAAGAACACCCAGTAGCTTCCCAAAAAGAAAGCAATAGAGGGGGTTGGGGGTAAAGAAAATCAGATAAAACAAATAGAAAATAAAAAGCAAAGAAGTTGACTTAAAACACCCATATGGATAATTATACGAATGCAAATATTCTAAGCATTCTAATTAAATGGCAGAAATTGTCAGATTGGATAAAAAAAGCAAGACACAATATGCTGTCTGCAAAAAAAAAAAAAAAAAAAAAAAAACAAAAAAAAAAAAACCAACCACGTTAAAGACACACATAGAAAAAGTGCTTTCAGAATGGTGGAGCAAATATCTCCAAAATTCAGTCCCTCTATAAAAGCAAAGAGAACACTATGAAAAACTGTCAAAATCAACTTTTTTACAGCTCTAGAAATTAACCAGAGATTTGCAAAAATATGAAGAGCATTTGGTCAACTAACCAAATAGATGAATTTTGGTTAAAATAGTGATATTGTGGTGTGTTAACATATTCTACTCCCAACCCCCTCTACTCAGGTCTTCTGTAACCTTGAAAACCAAAATCCTTACAATTAGAGTAGTCATAAAAACTAGCAACCCCACAGACACTGGAGGAGAACAGGTTCTGTGCTACCCAAAAGTCCCATCTCCAGGGAATTGCCATTATTTGCTCTGTCTCAGAGTATCCCGGAAACCCTCATTCACAGGAATTCTCTACTTGACCTGAATTAGAGTTTACTCAAACAGCCTTTCTCCCTAAGGCAACTGTCAAAAACAATCAGCAGCAATTGTTTAACACCACAGATGCCTGAGGCAGTGATCCCAATTGAGGCACACCACAAGCTGATCAAAATATTTAAAAGGCAAAGCTGGAAAATCATGTGTATGGGTGTATGGGGGGAGGCTGTTTTTGACAAGCTATAATATATTCTTTGCAATTCAGAAGATCATGCACATGTGCAGGGCTGTGCACATTTGCAGAAATGACCTGATGAAACCCTAATCTCTTACTTCTGGATGACCTTGAGGCTTTGAGATAGTTGGAAATGAAGGCTAAGACAGAGTTGTAAAGTGCCTGCGGTACATTGAAAGCATGCCCCAACAAGCACACAGAGATCCTCAGCAAAGACTGGGAGACTTACTGGTTCAAGACATTTAAGGATATATATATCCTTAATACCATCATTAGCAAGCCATGAAGCTAACCAGAGACTTTGGTGGCCACACGTGACAAAGAATACAGACTTTAACTCAGTAAAGTAACTAAACAAACAAAAAGCAACAGCAAACAACAGCAAACAACAAACCCTGAGAAATAGGGAGTCTGATTTACAGAGTTCCTTATTATATTACTCAAAATGTTCAATTTTCAATAAAAAATATCACATGCAAAGAAACAAGAGTATAAACCATACACACAGGAAAAGGTAATCAATAGAAACTGTCTTTGAGGAAGCCCAGAAGTTGGGCTTACTAAACAAACACTTTAAATCTATTATAAATATGTACAAAGAGCTAAAGGAAACCTTGTCTAAAAATCTAAAGGCAAGTATGGCAACATAGCAATGATGTCTCATCAAAGAAAGAATAACAAATAAATAGAAATTATTTTTTGAAAGAACCAAATAGAAATTCTAGAGTTGAAAGTATATGACATGACATGGAAAAAATCACTAGAGAAGCTAGCAGAAGTAAGAATAAGTGAACCTGAAAATATGGCAATTGAGATTCTTCAGCCTGAGGAACAGAAAGAAAAAATAAAAATGAACAGAATCTCAGAGACCTGTGGGATACCATCAAGTACAACACATAGATATAATAGGATCCGCAGAATGAAAGGAGAAAGGGCCAGAAATATTTGAAATAATGGACAAAAACTTCCATAATTTAAAGAAAAGCAATCTACATCCAACAAGCTCAAAGAACTCCAAACCACATACATCATAATCAAACTTTCAAAAGACAAAGATGAAGAGAACCTTAAATGCAACACAAGAGAAGTGATTCAGTAGGTACCAAAAATCCTCAATAGGATTAACAGGTGCTTTTGTATCAGAAACATGAAGCCAGAAGGAAGTGGGATGACTTATTCAAAAATGCTGAAAGAAGGCTTTCTTGAAATAAGAATCAATATTGAGAAAAATTTCCCTTCAAAAAAAAGGAAAATTAAGACATCCTTGGATAAACACAGATAATTCATCATTAGCAGAACTTCCCTACAAAATATACTAAAGAGAATCCTTCATTGGAAATGAAAGGACACTAGACAGTAACTCAAATCCACATGAAAAAATAGAGCATCAGGAAAGGAACTGCATATATAAATATAATAACAGTACAAAAATTTTTTGTCTTATTTCTCCATCCTTATTTAAAATAAAATTACATAGGGGTGCCTTGATGGCTCAGTTGGTTAAGCATCTGACTCTTGATTTCAGCTCAGGTCATGACCTCACAGTTCTTGAGATCAAGCCCCACGTTGGGTTCTGTGTTGACAGTGCAGAGCCTCCATGGGGTTCTCTCTCTCCCTTTCTCTCTGCCACTTACATGCATCCTCTCTCAAAATAAATAAATATTTTAAAAAATAAAATTAGATAAAATTACGTAAGGCAGCAAATATTAAGCTACGTTGGTGAGGCTTGTATGTATAAAGATATAAACTGTATGACAATAAAGTCATGAAGAAGACAAGAATGGAACTCAACAGAAACAAAAATTTTGTGTACCATTGAAATTAAGTTGGTATCAATCCATACTAGATTGCTATAATAAATGGAGATGTTAATTGTGAGCCCCAAAACAATCATCACTAATAACTAAAAAAATATAGTAATAGAAACAAAGGAATTAAAATGGTACACTAGAAAACAGTTAACTCAAAAGACATCAAGGCAGAAACATAGAAACAAACAAAGACATAAGACATGCAGAAAACAAACAGTAAAATGAAAGAGGCAAATCCTACCTTATCTGTGATTAGGTAAATTAAA